TTTCCTAATGTGATTTTTAGCATGTAGGCATTACTTTTTTTAAAGTCAGACACTGTTAGCAAAAGAAGAAAAATTTAAAAAACTATCCATCACCATCTTCTCCAGAAACATGAACTAGCACTCAGCATTTTAGACTTATGTCTTCAAGATCTTTAAGTACTGAAGATTTATTTCTGTAAGACCCTCCCCCCATACACAGGAAACCACATCCCGAGCTCCTGCCACTTAGAGAAGCCCTTCCCTTCACACACAGCATTTGTCAGTCACCCACTGCTAGGAACAAATTCACCACAGAAACAGCTCTCAGAACCAGCCCTTTAAGCAGTTGGGGCAGGTTTGAGAGGGGAAATTCAGCGGCTCCTCCAATGAGCACTCAAGAAAAGCAGCTTAGTCTGAGAACCCAACAACCAAGCCCTCCAGCGTGTGCTAACGTCCTACAGGACGTGGATTGCTATGAGGTTCTGCTGTGGTTGGAAAAGAAGATGCAGTTGGGCCTGCTGGTGGCAGTGGGGATGGCCGGTGGCGGTCAGTGGCAGCCATGGTGGGATGCTGCCTGTTTTGAAGGTGCGGCCACAGGCTTTAGTCAGAGGAGTAAATTGTAGATGCGAAGGAAAGCAAGGAGTCCGGGATGACTCTAAGACTGGGATCCTGGGAGGCATGGTGTCGCCTGGAACAGAGGGCAGGAGCTGAAACTGTGCAGAGGAACTCAGGATGCCTGCTAGGACTTAAAGGGACTATGCATGTAGGATGTAAAGAGGTTATGGGGAGCTCAGAGAATCCTAAGGAAAGACAAAAACAGGGTAAAGCTGGACAGTAGAAGATACTTAAATCCAGGGGCTGGGTAAAATCCTAAGAGTGAGAGAAACAGACTGAGAAAGAACACTCCAACACGAAGAGAAAGAAATAAGGAAGAATCAGCCAAGAAGCCCACAAAGGAGTCCATGGCCAGCAAGCAACCAAATCCTGTCAGCCCTACCTAACTCCTTTTCCCACCTGCCACACCAGGTTCCAATGCTAACCCCTCAGCAAAGCAGGCAGAGAGACAGACTCACAAGGGCTCCTGTTTTTCACGAGGACACCAAGCAGAGAGACCCTAAGAAACTGCCGCCGTCAAGAAGCAGGAGGAGGGTGGCAAAGCCAGGGCCCTGGAGCAGGTCTCCAACTGCAAGTTCTATGCTCATTTCATTACTGAATATTTTTTCAAAACGACCAAGAATCCTGCAAAATCACCATGGAAACACGAGACTGTCTCATCCCCTGGTGCAGAAGACGGGGCAGCGGGAGGCGGTTATGCGGCATCCACAGACGCAGTAAATCTCTCTGCTAGTCTCAGCACAAATGGCAGTGGTCCCAACCACACAAAGGAAGAATGCCTTGTACTTCTCAAAGGCTCCCACACATGCTCCGAGGGCACTCTGTTCGGCTGGGGGTCCGTGAGCAGGCACATCTAGTTCCTCATGGCCCCACTACCTCTGTGGACACCAGACAACCTCACCCCACCTCTGGTGGGTCCAGGGAATCATTTACTTCAAACAAACAAGCAGCCAGCACAGGGCTGCTCTGTCAGAAGGCACATCTTACACAGGCCAGTAAGCGCAGCCTCCCCTCCTGGCTATCCACCCCAGAGGGAGCCTGCACGCTAACTTCCCAGTCTCCAGGAGCAGTCCTTGGCTCCAGAGCTATCAGCTCCATCTCAGACCACACTCACCTACACTGTCCTGAGTGAAATGCCGGCTCTGTTCACACTTCCGGGGGCCGCTCCCAGAGAGCTTGGTGTGGATGCCAGTTACTGTCTTTATTACAGCCTGTGGTTTACAGAGCCAGGTTCTTCTGCTTCCTCTCTACCTGTGAGTGCCTGCAGGTCAGTAGCATGACCAATGCACCTCTGTATTCTGCATGGGTGTATAGAATTACACCCACGGAACAATGTGCAGAAAAGGAAGTTTGGTGGGAACTTAACAGAGTGCCAAGGAGCAAGCAAAAGGCCACCGGAAACTCATCTGCTCCCCTTGAAGGCCTGCGATGAAAGGAGGAAGGGCGCTGAAGGTGGAGAGCCCGGCTCCACAAGCACAGTGAGGGAGCCTGGGGCCTGAGTCTGGGTGTGGGACAGGAAGGGCCCAGGAGAGGAGGTCACCCACAGCGGGAGTCTGGGCTGCAGGCCACCTCCAAAAAGGTGTTAAAGTCAAAAATGGCCTTGGGAATCAAGACAGATGGGCTCTCAATCCCAACTCTTCCCATGTGGCTTTAGATGAGGTGATTGTCTCTGAACCTTGTCTTATACATGGTTGGGAGCCACCATATGACTGCTGGGAATTGAACTCAGAACCTCTGGAGGAGTAGCCAGTGCTCTTAACCTCTGTCCGGGCCATCTCTCCAGTCCAAACTTTGAGCCTTATACAAAGCACTGGAAGACTGGCTTCACCTTGATGAAGAGGGTAAAAGAACACTGAGCTCTGCTGGCCACAGACCTCAAATGGGCTGGGCCAGCGCCTGACTCTTAACACAGCTAGACCCAGAAGGAAAAGATGGCTTGGGCTTGAAGTATCCCCATGTCTATCAACATGGACCTCTGCTCATGCTCTTTGGAGGGCCTGCTGAAACAGATGTCCACCTGCACATGTGTTGTGGACATCTTCCCAAAGGCTTGCCTCAGAGAAGCTTCTCAGACCTCAGCTTCCACAGGTCACCCACCTTTCTAGGAGCACCTCGTGCCCTGGCTCTCCACAGGACTGAGCTACAGTCAGCAGTCATGGACCACTGACAAAACATTGTTATTACAAGGACTTGAGGTCTCCTCTCAGGATCTCTCCAAGTTGAGTCACAGGAGACGTGGGAGAAAGCAGAAGGGAAACTTTGGACACTTAAAAGTTGAGAAAGCAAGGAAGAAAAGCATCACTTACATAGGCCAGTCTAACCTTTAGATCTTACCTGTCAAGGACAAAGTCCTCTGCTAAGTCCAAGTCCAAGACCATGGGTTATGAAGGGCAATTTGGTTAAGCCAAGTCTATCAGTTAAGACAATCCTGTCCAAGGTAGACCAGGCAGCCAAGATTAGAAATCTATGAAGCTGCCCATTGGGAAGAAGTGAATCTTCAGGGAGCTATGGCTTTAAGTCTGTGCTCTCTGCCTTCCGCAGCTCAGGTCCCCAACATAACCCTCTTCAAGTTTTTCTCAAAATTCTCCAGACTTCCAGATCTAGGACCCTTTAGGTCTTATAATGCTCCCGTTCCTCCAATTCTGTTCTCCCAGGCAGGGCCTTGGGCATCTCGGCTGGCAGGCACATTTACCCTTCAGGCCTCACTCTCTCACACCTCTGTAGGTGCCATTAGGATTTTCCTATTTGGTACATTCTGTATACCTTGCCAGCTAATTATCAGCTCCAAGGAAGGCCCTTTGCTCACTGCTATGCTTTCAAGCCTTGGGGCATCACCATTCACTAAAGAAGTAGCGAACTTCCTCAGACTGCCATCAGCCAAGGAACGAAGACTGGACACTTAACTCTGGCATGTGCTCAAATACCAAGCATGCATGGGCAGAAGCTGCTGAGGGTGCACTGTGTCACCTCTCAGGACAGAGGGACAGTGACTTCACTTGTAAGGATCTAAAGGGGAAGTAACACACCGCACAGCTGTTCCACCTAACACTAAGTGTGTCACAGGGCTCTGACCTGGAGTGCCCAGTGATGTCAACTGTCATCTCAGGGCTGAGCAAGGGCAGAAAAGAAATCAGCAGTGCCACAGCTGGGCCATGAGAACAGATGCCAGCCCCTCAGCAGCAATTTACCCCAGACACTGGGTACCCCATTTAACAACGAGAGGCAAAGCCAACATCAATTCTGCAAGACAGTTAAGAGCCAAAGAATAGGAGTCCCCAGTTCAAGATCCCAGCTATCATGCAGAAAGTGGGTTCAAGGTCAAATCCATGCCAAGCTTATCCAAAAGCGTGGGTAAACAATGCTCTCTCGGAGGGCTGAGGAGGTTAGAGGTTAGCAGACAACAGCTCATGGCTTGCAACATGGGCTTCATAAATGGAGATGGTGAGGCCCAAGTAGAGGCACAGGGGATCTTGGGAACCCTGCCAACAGCCTGCAGTTCTAAGAAATTCATAACGAACAGGAAGTAGTACATTCCCCCAGATAATGTCTATTCTATCCCTTAAATTCTCAACCTCTTACTTAACCTATTGCTTTAACTTTTTTGGACTTCTTTTTATTTTGGGTGTACGGGTGTTTCGGCTGCATGTGCTGTGTGCCCACTAAGGACAGAAGGCATTGAACCCCCCGGGCCTAGAGTTACAGATGGTTGTGCGCTGCCACGTGGGTGCTGAGAACTGAATCTGGGTCCTCTGGAAGAGCATACTGCGCTCTTAAGCTCAGGGTCATCTCTCTGGCCCTGATCCTACTGCTCTTCAGAAGAACTTTCTGTAATTTTCGCTTGGAAGCTGAAGCAGGTGCGATCTGGGGCTGCAGGAGCGTTAAGTAACGGCTGGCCAGTGCAGCGACAGGCAGCTTTGCAGAGGGAGCGCTGCCCAGGGGCGCCGGCGGCTCTGTGGTAAGACAAGCAGACTGTCTACGGCAACACACAACGCAGTACCGCGCGCTCCCCACCTTCTCACCACAGCAGCTCCAACACCTGTGGTAATAACTAGCCCTCACCAGAGGCCGCCTGAAGTCTGGAGAGCTGCTCAGCTCACCAGCTCAGGGGAAAGCACATGTGTGCCTGGTGAACCCCATGGCACTGCCCTCTTCCAGGGCCTTCCAGGGCTGAGGGACAGTAGAGGAAAAGCCAACGGTGAGGAGGTGACAGGGCAACGTGGAAGCCCCCAAGCACTCACTTCCCTGTTCAAGGAGCATGCGGCGGGATGAAAGAAAAGCACGGACTCTGCAGCCCGTCCGGCAGGTAGTCCAGCCCCAAACTTCAGAGTGCTCGTACCACAGTGGGAGCTCCTGGCTTTGGGGGTGCAAGGTGCTGGGGCAGGGGTAGAGGCACACTCCAGTCAGGGTTGGTGAAGCCGTGTTTATTACTCCGCTCTCTGTTTTCCACATAGGTTTGCCAAACAACTGAGGGCAAATGACAAATATTTTGCTCTTAAAAATGCTGCAGTGGTGTGATCACCCCCACAGACACATCCTACAATGCTGATGAACTCACACCCACGATAAGAGGGCAGGTATGGTGAGCAGTTCCCACCTCTGGCAGCAAAAGGTCATAGGCCAGAGCATCCTACCCAGGGTGCACTTAGAATTAAATAAAAGGCCAAAATCTGGTGACTCTTCTCACTTATTTCTCCTCTTTGTTGAATACAGTTTTTCATCAAGTGGGACTGGGACTATGCCGTCACACTCTTTCACTTCCTGAGTCAGAGGGTGTTTCACAATATTTGGTCTAATCACTTCAGTGTCTCGCCCCAAGTGTTCCAGGATGTTTTCCACAGCACTTGTTGGGGCATAAAAATCCACCAAGAAATACCTGCAACAAGAGAGAAATGGATGAGTTCCTGCATCTGAATCCAAACATTCCTGCTTTGGTCAGTGGTGCAACTTTTACTCTTTGCCGGGAGATCACTATCCCACACTTCTGCTCAGCTTCAAGTGCAGCGGGCACAACCAGTCTCCTTCCAGACGGCATTTCTCATTGCATCCCTGTAAAAAGTAGCCTGAACCACCTGTATGGCATCTAAAGGCTGTGAACCAGGCACACGGAAATAACACAAAGTAGCTGTGAGATTGTATACTTAGAATGCTCTACCCCACCAACACGGATGGATCGGAAACCATCTGCTGGTTCTTCTTGTGGAAACACTGGTTAGGTGGTCTTCAGTAACATAAGCAAGTAAGTTAACAAAATCTCATGGCAGTTCCTGAGACAAACTTCCAGAAAAGTGGGCATGGAGAGGACTTTCTAAAAATCCTATAACTAACATTTCACCAAGTGACAGAAATCTGTATACCCCCCATCCCAAAACAAGGAGCCACGTGTACCAGATACCTCCTCATTCAGACCTTGAAGAGAAGGGTTGACTGTACCTTAGTTTCCAAAATGCCTTCATACCTCTTCAACATCTTGTGAAGATGGAGGGCAGTAGAAACCTGTGTGTATCCGTTGAGTAAATGGAAGAAGAGGACACGAAGCTGCATGTTGGTCTGGGCCTAGCATCATTTTCTAGAGCGTTGTTTCCTATACATCACTTCTTTCAATCCAATGTGAAGAATAACAGATTCAGGCTATCCTCAGCTCACCCTTCTACCATGCAGCCACTGTGAGGACCAGACACATCAGGTCTTTTGACTCCCAGATACATGAAGCCTCTGACAACTTTGGAACTAAAAAAATGTTACAGAATTATAGGCTGTGATAGACAGGAAATATGGGCCAACCCCTTCACTGTAGGAAAGGACAACCAGAAAGATCTACTGCAGGCCATAGTGTAAGCTGGAGGGCAGGCTCTAGACTGCAGCTCACGGATATGTCATCTCTCACCAGCATCACTGGCCCTCTGGAGGCTTCTTGATGATAAAGCAACGACTTGGAGGTCTTTAAAATGGGCTGTGGTTTGGCTTCCAGGAGGCCCCATCGATACCAAACCCTATGACCTTTACCCTTTAATTCACCTTCACCAGTCTTCCAATCCTTTGGCAACCAAACCCAAACAAGAGCTCTGGCCAAACTGCAAGTGGGTTTGTGGCCACATCCACAGCGTGTGACTGTCATTTCAAGCTTATCACTTTGCTGATCTGTGCCTCAGGCTGACTTGGGCAAAGAGTGTTTCTACTCCCCTGGCTCATTACACCATGGAAATTTCCACGAAAAGGAAAACACCCAACAGAGAAGGGGAAAGTAGCTCAGAGATGGGCAGATATACTGTATTCACTTCTCCTTGAAAGCCGAACCTCCTCCTCCTCTTCCTCCCTAGGAACCAAGCTAACCTTCTTCTACCATGAAGGAGCCAAGCAGAGGTCTAGGGCATACCCAACCTGTGTGCCTGAATGGCCAGCCTGTCCACATGACTCCCACACAGAAACGGAGCTGCATGGTTCCTGGTTGCTTCCACTCAGTGTTTTTTTTTTTTTCCTTAACAATTTATCTAAGCAACTATAAACAAATGTGTATTGCAGATAAACCTCAGAAGGCTGAAGCAATCAGGCACACAAGGCTTCTTCAGCCTTCTAGAACAGTCGTTTGGCAACTGATATAAAAAAGTCACCAAGGTTTGGCGTTAGAAGTTCAGGCTTCTACAACTTCCGTAAGACTCCCACTCCTGTCAGGCTACAGCAATCCACACCCAGCTGTGGGCCATAGACAACAGAGCACTGAGAAAGACACTCTCTGTCTCTCTCTCTCTCTCTCTCTTTCTCTCTCAGTCCCTCTCTCACACAGCTGTCACAGCTGTGTCGCCTACACAGAGCTGTGTGGACAGTTTCTGAGGCCAGCATGTTGTCTTTTTCCTGACAGCCTATGAAGACAGAGCGCTGACACGTGCGCTGAGAAGAGAGCTCTGGAGACTGTCATCAGCTCCCACACACTACTACAGGCTCCACAGCCAGAGCCACAGAAGGTGAGCAGAATGAGGCTAAAAGAGAAACGGAGCCTTCAAGAAAATCAGACTGTGCCTTCACCCTGCTCTGAAGGGAAAGATAAGGACTGCAGCGCCACAATGGCACAACCGTGTCGGTGTGCTGTACTCACCAACTTAGGCAGAAGCAAAGCACCAAATAGGTCTCTTATCTCCACCCATCTCACCATGAGTTTCTCACTCAAGTAGAATGATTCAGAACTATGACTCCTCTGTGCCGACAGGCCTAGAAGAAGACATTCTAATAAAATAATAAAATACTCCAGTTTGTTAGTTTCCATTCCCTATTTTTATCTTAATCAGTAATTGAACCAGTAAGTAGAGAGATCATTTTGGAGAAATCAGTGCAATAATCTAAAATCTAATTACACTACATTTTCAATCACGTGCTGCACACACAGGAGAAAACACCACACACCAGGTTGTAAGCAGCCCTATGGCAGCCTTGACCGCAGAACCCAGCAGTGTTTACATTGAAAGGTCTGCTTCCTGCGTGTGCTTCTAATTACGGAACCTTCTCATCTGCAGGGCTGACATCTGCTCTCCCCAAGTATCTCCCTTCTCTACAGAGATGCATATCAACACCACAGAAGTGGAAGTGAGGCGCTTGCTGCTGCCAAGCCAGGAGAGGTGGGGCCAAAGCAGGTTGAGGACACTAAAGCACACCTCATTACAGATGCAACATTCAGAAGCCAGACAGCAGTGAGCTGGCGGCTTACAGCACTTTACCACCACAGAACTCCACGGCATGGACCAGGGCCCCGGTCATCTGAAAGGAACAGAGAAATGGCTCCGCAGGACAGGCCATGCCCCAACTTGGAATACCGCTCCCACGCTGGCTCCCTGCATAGCAATGCTCTCCCAGGGAACCAGTTTCCAGCTCCGCCTCTCCTCGAAGGCTAGCCCTAGCCCTACAACAGCATGAGGTCAAAAGTCTGAGCAAGGCTACAGCACTGCCCACGGCTGAGGCCCCAGCCCCATGACTATAGGTGTTAGGCAGAAAGGCTTCCTGGTAGTGTTCTTGGAGATGAGGGCTGCATTCTTTTCCAGTTCCACTTGTCTGAACCCACAAGAAGAGCTTGCTTAAACTAGAGTGATATTGTTTGTCACTGTCCCTCAGACACCCTCCCCTTCCCAAAGGCAGACAGTGGAATTTTCCAGAGTGCTCAGTGGCTCCCAGTGGGTGGGGGAGTTTGGGAGGGGTGAGGCTCTGCAACCCCAGAGCATCTTGGAACCCTCTGCAGACAAGAAGCGATTTGTGTGATGTTTGGTCCTAGACTGCCTTGGTTAAACCTTTCTGATCTCAGTTTTCACAAGAGAGCGGACTATTCACCTTAATGCCAAAGGCTGTCCACACACAAACCCTGCTTCCTTTTCTATCTGGTGGCTCTCAAGCCTTTTAACAACAAGTAATTCTAGAAATTGTGGGGATGTGTCGCTTGAAAGAAACCTTCAAGAGAACAGTATCCCTTACCCCAAACAAGCTGTAAAGTACCTACACACAAAAATGGGGCCAGGGCACCGGCCTTGACTTGATGCCGGCAAGAAAAGAACACGGAAATGTTAACCAACAGGAAAGCTACAGAGGAGAATCAATCTCCTCTAGAGAGGGCTCCAGCGCTCTCCGAGTAAGCATGCTAGAGACACATTCAGAGAGCAAGTCAGTAAAATTCCACTGATTCCCCACACAGCTGGCTATTTTGATCACTCCTCTTAGCCGTAAATAGAAGGTGCCTTGCACATACCCAGGGGAGCTTTGCCATAAGTACCTACCCAAATTTAAAGACAGCACTCCATTCACAACTAATTAAAGGACATGGAAGCGAGTCCAGCCTCCTGGTCCTCACAGGCCACCCGAGGCTCACAAGCTCAGCCCTGAGAGCTCACCCATCTTCTACAGTTGCCCCTGCAGCTTAGAGGTCACTCTTCACCCAGCCCCATCTAGTGGAAAGAGCTTCACCGGGTGTGGAGCCTGCGAGTGAGACTGGCCACCTGTCTGCAGTGGAACACCGCTGGGCGTCAGGAAGACACTTGCCCTCTTTTAGCAAGGGTCCACTGCAGTGTGACAGCAAGGGATACCTACACAGGCCTCCAGGTGAGCATGTGAAGGCACAAGGAGAGGCCATTCCGTAGGCCTGAAAAGGACAAGAGCAAACCCAGAGCAAAGGGTGATTGTAGGCTTGGCTATGTCCAGCAGCTCCAAGCTGTACTGATGGCCTCTAGGCCCTGCCCAGTGGCAACAGGTGGTAACTGAAGCCCAGGCTTCCACTGGGAAAGCTGATCCAGGAGACCCGGAGTTCCCAACTCCTCCCACGGGGCCCAGGCAGTGGAGGGATCTGTTCCACCCTGCTGTTCCCAAGATCATGCCCTGGCAGCCAGCTGACTTGGGACATGGCTGCCTTAGAAAAATCATACAGACAAAAGCTACAGGTGTCTGAGACCTTGTCTTCATCCCTGATAAGAGTAGCCAGACCAGGCTCCAACTGCAGCCAGGTGGAACACACCAGAACATTTTTCACAAAGACGGTCCTCAGCTGAGCATGAACACCCCCCCCCGATGCCAGCCCCCCCAGACGGTGAGTGAGTAGCTGTGGACTGGTCTGGGAATTTCACCATCAAGCTGCTGCAGTGAGCAAACAAGTCCCCAGGAACGGATCAGCAGGCAATCTCTGTAATACACCTGCTTCTCAGGTAGGGTCTGACCAAGTTAGTATTTGGAATGATGACATTTTTGATTTTTGGCATAAACTGGTTATAAACTTGGCATTATGAATAAATAATAACATCAAAACATTTCTGAAGCATACCCCCACTCTGGGGAGACAGTCCAGCTAACCTGAGCAGTGAAAGCTTTCCCCACGTGAGCAGGCTACACCCACTGTCTTCTTTCAGCCTGCTTGGCCTCCATGCAGCCAGGGCCCAATATGGGGAAGTAGGCTAGAGCGTGGCTGTGGCAGGGACACCAGCACCCATGGCAAGCCAAGAGTCAGAATCACCTAAGACCTGCGGATGCCGACTCCTAGAACACATGCTCACAGCTCCGTATGAGACAGCTGCGTATGGGTTCTCAGGGGGCATCGAGCCAATCAACGAGCTAAACACACTGACTCATGCATATGGCATCAGCACCTTTCCCAATTACGAGTGCGTGTCACAACCTCCAGGGCTGCCGAAATGAACCAAAGCTTCAGATGCTAAACCAGCATCCAATAAGCCACCCTTGGCCATTTTCAAACAGTGCACTGTCTGTGGTGTGCCATGGGTGCAGCGCCTTCTTGATTACCCACATCACACATGAGCAGTCTGTCAAACGGAGAAAATGACGACTACAAAGAAGGCAGGCATCTAGAAGCCTTTACTCAGGCAATTCTACATGTACTAGCCCTCACACACTCGTTTACCAAAAGCCACTGTGGAACACATTCATGACTGCAGAGAAATAAAACATCATGGTTGGGCCAGGAAGATGGCTCAGGAGTGGAAGGCCTTGCACGCAACCTTCACTGCCAGAGTTCAATTCCTAGATCCACAAGTGGCAAGAGAGAGCCAACTCTCAAGAGCTAGCCTTTGACCTCTACACATGTGGCCTACAGGCCTGCACATTTACACACACACACACACACACACACACACGCACACACGCACACACGCACACACATCATGCTCACACAAAACGATGAGCACCCCTTACTGAAGGGCTTTTCAGCATTTATATGGCAATGTCTCTAGAGAGATGGGTCACATAAGACGCCCCACATGCAACTGATGTCACACACAGTTTGTTTGCTTCAGCATTCCTGTAAATTGGTATCCAGACATAGCATTTTGAAAACAGCCTCAAACAGATAAATGCTGGTGATGACTTTTCTCAGCAGCACAAGTCTAAAACCTGAATGCCGCCGCCTGACAACACAAGACACCCACTTCTATGCTCACACACAAACACATACCTAGTACGCTTCCAATATGGCGGCCTTCGAATACCAATGGCCGATGTTGGGGTTGGCTGGTGCTATGTATTTTAATTACTGGCCCCCAAGATCCTGTCCCTGCTCAGAAGAGCACATTCTCACACACACCTGTCTTTGTTGTGTAAACCTTGCTTCCCCTAATTTAAAGCTGATTGGTTGATTAAAAATTCTGAAGCTTGGGACCTGGCAGAAGAAAGGGGGAAGGAGATGGGGATTTGCAGGCTGGGGTTGAAGAACCACCCGGAGAAAAGGAAGACAGGACAGGAGAAGAAGGTAAGGGCCAGGCGCCGTGGGTTAGCGTGGGGAAGGAGCAGGGCTGGATCATCGTGGATGGAGGACGTGGAGAACATTAATTATTTTGGACCATGGGCGGGAGGTAGCTCCAGACTGGGGCTGGGAGGAAAAGTTAGTTTAGAGGGTTATTATCTGCAATGCTCCACGTAAAGGCTATTTTATAAAGTACAACAGCTATGTCTGTGTTTTTAATTGATTGATAGTGGGTTAGGAAATAGCACCGTAATAATTATAGCCTAATAATAAACATTTACTAGGCCACACCACTTAAATTTACACAAGGGGCACAAAGAACGGAAGTGAGACCCTTGGTGAGGACTGTGCACCTGGCCAGGACCCTGAGGGCAGGGCAGGCACTGACAGCGTGCTGGCAGGAGCATATGCTCCATCCGCAGAGAGCAGCAGTACGTGCCACTCGCTCCTGCTTCCCGTGGACGCCTGCAGCCAGGAGAGTTCAATCAGCCGCTCTCAAAGGGGAGGCTTGCTCAGGCGAGGAGGAGCAGCGGCCAGGCAGCTGGCTAGGGGAGACGTTCACGTTAAAGACATGCCAGCGAAAAACAACTCCTGTTGACAGGCAGGGGCACTCAGACTGGATGCCCCACCACCCCGAATGGACGAGGACAGACCCATGTTCAGCGCCTTTCCTGTAAGAGGAGTTAACTGACCCCGCACAGGCTGCAGGCAAAGACCTCCTGACAGGCAAAGCCACAGCAGTTCGTGACTAAGTTTTAAAACTAGAACTGAAGAATGTGCACCTAGACTGACACACATGCACACATATGCACACGCACGCACCCTCCACCCTCATTGTTATTGCGACTGTGGAAGAAGCCCAGCACTGGCACTTCCTGTTTCCTAGCAACGCCGGGCAATCTGGCGAGGCCCTCTCCAGAAGCCAAACACAAAACAAAGTGAGGCCATGAGGATGTCTGCAGCATGTGCCACATTCCCAAGGAGGGTTTAAAGGCAGCTCTAGCCGAGACCCCTGCACACCTGACCCAGCGCACGGCTGCACATTCTCCCTCCATTCCCAACACAACTCAGATATGAGACTTGGAGTCAGCGCCGGGGCTGCCGGGGAGATGCTGTTGTTCTGCTCTGTCCTGCCTGCACTGCTTTTGTATGTTATACCTGAAGGACACCCAACACACTGGGACCGATGGGCATGGTGACACCTTTCCTATGCCTGCAGCCAGCCCTGGAGAACTTACCCGCCTCTTCTGTGCTTCTGATTGTGGCTGGTGATCCTGTAAGGAAGCGCTCGCTCGCCCAGGTTTTCCAGGTCCCTCACTATGGCTCCTCGCTCCATCAGGAATTCGATGGTACGCTTCAAAGCAGCAGCAGTGTCTGGCTGTTTTTTATTTTCATTTTTAAAGAGAAGAAATAAAAAAAAAAATCACAATCAATATGAAAACTGAATGATTACGTCCATACTGCTGGAGACCGCCAGGTAGAAGCAAGTGAAACTGGCTGTAGCTAACTCAGATAAAATGAATTACAGCAAAAGGCTTTTAAGATAGAAGACAGCTCACAGATACACAGGACAAAGAGTTCAGGGGCCAACGCAGCTCCATTGAACCGGGGGGCAGGAACTAACAAATGGCTAGGCCCAATCCGTGCCAGTCACTGGCAGGGCACCTGAGCACTGTACCAACCACAGCCAGGTGGGAAAGGGGCTGAATCCCAAAAGAAAACTGGGAGATCAGAACCAGAAGGCAAAGGTAAGATCCAAGCTGTACCCTCCATGGCGCTTAAGATCTAACAGAGTTTTACAGAGAACAGGTAAGGAGACCAGACGGCACAAAAGGACAGTGGCACAGACAAACGTACTCATATGTGCCCTTGTGTAGGTGGGTGCAGAGCCCAGGGCCTGCAGTAACCTCTGCTCTCACCTTCCGCAATCCTCCCCAAGTACACAAGCACAGATGAGAGTACACACACACCACACGTGCACACACCACTGCACACACCATACGACACAAAGAAATATCCTTTTTAAAAAAGGAATTCATCAAGCCGGGTGTGGTGACACGCCTATGATCCCAGCACTCAGGGAACCAGAGGCAGGCGGATCTCTGTGAGTTTGAGGCCAGCCTGGTCTACAAAGTGAGTCCAGGACAGCCAAGCTACACTGAGAAACCCTGTCTCAGAAAACCAGATAACTAGCTAGCTAGCTAGCTAGCTAGGGATGGATGGATGGATGGATGGATGGATGGATGGATGGATGGATGGAATTTTATCATATCTGTCAAAAAAAAAAGAACGTGAGAATGGCTGCCTCACATCTAACATGAAGGCAGCTTAAAACAAACACATTCTTTCACTTTGTGTGGAACTCAAGGCATGAACTGCGTGACTGGACTTACTTGTTTGGCTGTGATTTCAAATTAGTCAGTAGTTTAAAGAAAGGCGGAGGCTGGCGAGGCGGCTCAGTGGCTAAGGGAACTCAGAACCCAACCTGAGCTCAATCTCCGGGACCCACATGGTAGACACAAAGAGCTGACTCACATGAGTTACCCTCTGACCTCTGCATGCACACTGTGGAAAGGGAGCCCACACTCATACACACTAAACACGTAATTTTTGTAAAGAGACTACAAGAGAAATAAACGATTTTTGGTTACTAAGGTTGTTCAGTATTTTTCATACACTTTATCTCAACATAAAGCAGCCTCCCCAAGGATGGGGCCCTTAAAACTTTGCTTTGTCGAATTAAGTTTTATGGGCATGCAGCCAGCTCACGAATTTGAAGTGTTTGTGGCTGTTTGTGCTTAAAGCAAATTTGTAGTTACAACAGAGAGCAGAGGGCCCCAGACCTGACCATTATTATGTAGCCAATCTCTGTTCTGCACTCTCAAGGGTTGAGGAAGCCGCAGGGCCTCGGTCCACTCACCCTAAATGCACAACTCCCAGCCTGTGACTAGTGTCCTGTGGACTCCCAGCGACACCTGTATGAGCAGATATGTGTGGCTCAGTGGTTCTGCTACACAGCGCTAGGTCACCCAACAATTCAGTGTTTCACAGTTCTCCCGACACGCTCAACTGGTGAGCTGGTGCTGTCTCTGACTTTTAGTTTGTTTTTGTTTTGTTGGAGACAGGATCTTACTCTGTAGCCCAGGCTAGACTAGAACGCACAGGTAGTTCTAGCCTCAAGTTTATGGTAGTCCTCCTGCTTCAGCCTCCCAATGCTGGGATTACAAAAATAAGCCACCATGCCTAGAAAGCACGCTAAATTTTAATCTTTCACAGTTGATTTGCATATACTTTGTAATAGGAAATGATAGAACTGTTATCTATTTTTCGTATCCTGCACATTTTTTTCTCATTCCCCATAGTTGTGAGCCTTAACTGATGGCTAAGATGCTGAACACTTTTTGAAACGTTTTCTGGCCATTTGTATTTGTACCTTTGAAAACTGCTCAGTTTACTGGGTCATTTGCTGATAACAGCTGGGGGTAGTGTTTTCATCTCTGCAGCTCTCCATACAATCTAGACATTAGCCCACCTGACTCAGCTGGTGGAGACGGTCTCCCGTTCTGCAGGCTGAATCTGTACCATGCTTAGGGCTCCCATTCCTTTTAATTTCATGTGATCACATTTGCCAACTCCTGAGCTCTTAAGTCTTTTTTTCTGGAAAGTTCTTGCCTGTGTCTACATTCTGAAGCACCTGTCCTTAATATCCCCTTAGCAATTCATTGGTGGTTTATATTATAGTCTTTTATCCACTTTGGGTTTTTTGGTTTGGTTTGTTTTTGTTTTTGTTTTTTGTGCAAGATTAAAGACAGGGATCTGATTTCATTCTTCTGCATGCTGGATAATCAGTTTTCCCAAGTAAAAATTTTGTGAAGAAGCTTCCATTTTCCCAGTATATGTTTTTTTTAACATCTGTGTCAAGAATTAGGTTGCTGTAATTGTGTTGGCTTATTTCTGGGTTCTCTTCCAATTGTTTTGGGTCTATTCAAATCTGTTTTTCTGCCTGTAACATACTGTCTTTGTCACTATAGCTCTGTAGTATAATTTTAGCAAAAGTATACTTTCTGCTTAGGATTGATTTGGCTAGAGATGGTCTTGTATTTGCCATATGGATTTCAGGTTGTTTTTGTTTGTTTTTTCCCTCCCAGTTGCAAGAGTTCTTTTGATAGGGACTCCACTGAACCCACCGACCACTTTCAGTAACATCACCATTTTTTACCATGTTAATCCTGGTGATCCATGGGCATGAAAAAATCTACCATCTTCTACTGTTGCTTTCAATTTCTTTCTTTGGTGTCTTAAATTTTCTATCTATGTGGTTAGGCTTCTTCCTGTAGTTTTTGCTGTTATTGTTATGTATTAAGTTCTTTCCTACCAAGTTCTAATTGGCAAATAGAGAAGTATTGATTTTTGTGTGGATTCTGTATCCTGACACTTTCCTAAAGTACATTCCAGTCCCCAAAGCTTTCAGGTGGAACGCACACAGTGCCTTACATACAGGATCACGTCATGAACAAACAGGACAATGTGACTTCTGTCCTAAGTATCCTTGTAGCTTCCTGCTCTTTCCTAGTGCTCTAAGAAAGAGGGCAAGCACTTCAAAGAAAACCTGTCTCATTTCAATGGTAGGAAACACTTGGTTTTTCTCACGTCAGTGTAATGTTGACGTACACTCACTGCAGTCTTTATCATGAGATCATGCTCCTTCTGCCTGTTCGCTCTGAACTTCTGTCAAAACGTTGGTAACAGCCTTTTCTGCATCTTCACCATGATTACATGATGTCTGCTCTTAAGTTTGCTTCTACTGTGAATAAAACCCATAGATTCACGTATGTTGCACCTACAACCCTGGTAAAAAACCAGCTTGGTAGTGATGTGTTTTCTTTTTGAAGTGTTCTTGAATTCAGTTTGAAAACGTTAAGATTTTTACAGTTATATTTACCAGAGAAAATGGTCTGTAATTTTTCTCTTTGTTCTGTCCCTGTGCAGTGTTGGTAGCAGGGCAGAACTAGCTTCACAAAACGAGTTCCTTCCCTAGGTACTCTGCAGAACAGGCTGAGGATTATTACTGTCGGTCTTCCTTGAAAGTCTGACAAACAGTCCCATGGCGCTGGGAGAACATGTTTTCTGACCTGATGGACAAACTGTTCTGTAAATCCTGTTAAAAGCCTACGGTATGATTCCCGCTGACGTTCGCTGACTGAGTTTGGAAGACCTACATGAAGTTAACAGTGGAGCACCAAAGTCTCTTGTCACTATTGTAAAAGAACTTTAGTGTTTGTGTCAAGAAACTGGGAGCCCACGACTTAGCACACAGATACTTACAACTGTTCCCTCAGTAGTAATTTCTTTCTTGTCACGATTCTGCTACGAGACTAGCTATGCCAGCTTCTATTCAACCTCCATTTTCTGGGTAAGGTGACTTTTACCCTTTGACTCAGTTTCCTGGTATCTTTGCCAGTGAAGTGTTTGTTTGTTTGTTTGTTTGTTTGTTTTGTTTTTAAGGCAACAGTTTCTTTTTTTTTAAACCAAAGCATTAGGGTTTTTTGTTTGGTTGTTGTTGTTGTTGTTTACCCCCCAAGGCTAGGTTTCTGTGTAGCTCTGGCTGTCCTGGACTCACTTCGTAGTCCAGGCTGGCCTTGAACTCACAGAGATCCATCTTCCTCTGCCTCCTTGCTGGGGCTTGTTTTCTAATCCAGTTAGTCTACAACTTTTAACTGGTGAGTTCAGGCTATTTCCAATGTTCCACGAATTGCCCATGGCTGTTTTCTTCCTCCCCTGTTGGCTTACTGTGTCGGGTGTGATGCATCCCTTCCATTATGTTCATGCATTATGTTCCCTACTGCCATTTGGAAGGAAGCGGCTGACATCACAAACACACCGCTGTGATGGTAGTCCCAGTAAGTGCAACAGACGGAAAGGTAACGTCTGATTCAACCCTGCAAGATTCACAGTCCAGGCATACCAAATGGTCACTCTGCAAAACTCACACTCATTTACGGTATGCAGCAACAGCGCCCACCAACCTTCACAGAGTGAGTGAGGGGGAGGAGAGAGGTGTGTGTGCACATCTTGGCCATCAGCAATGGAGACAGCACAAACAGAATTTCTCAAGAGTGTGCAAATTCCCTGGTACTAGAAATCAAAGTCAAGCCTTTTGAAGTCGTCATTTTGAGGAAATCAGGAACAACCAAATATTATTTCTTCAGGCTCAAAATATTTACCTGGAAACATTGTTTTCTTTCCTCAGACAAGTATGTCCAAGATGCTCACTGTGAAATCCACCCCCGAGGGACAGGCGAGGGGAGTGAAGCAGGGTCCCACTCTCGAAGTGCTACCGAGGAGGAAACAATCACCAGCAAGTCGCCGATAAAGCTC